AAGTTAACCCTGCTTCTAAAATGAGGATACTCCCAAGTTTATGTAATTCACAAGAAACTTCAATTGTATCTGTCTCATGCTTCCCGTCCCTCTCACTCTCCAGAAATTACCACTTTCAGCCGAAGGGCAAGACGTAAAAAAACATGTCTGCAAGGGATCATGGGAAAAGTACAACTGCAAAACACATGAATAATATATTAATGTTAATGCCAAATTAAATAATGAACTAAATGAAAAAGGAAAATCCCCTAAGGGTGTTCCTAGACTGGCAATGAAAGAAAAATTGACAATAAAAGTAAAAGAAAAAAATACCCACAAGTCCTAAGAAGTATTGTATATAGATTAAAGGGAAGTAAATAGAGGAGCAAAAATGTGCTACCTAAAATCGTTACTAGTGTCCTTGTTACACTGATAATGAAAATAAATCTTTATTGAGTCTTGAAAAAGTAACAAAAGGACACTATGTTGAAATTGCCCCCCCCCCCCCCCTAAGAAAATGATAAGAAGATCAATCCTATGGTAAAGAATAGTAATTGGAAGTACCTATTTTATACCTATAGGGGGAGTAAGCACAACCCTCTAAGTATATGGGTGCAGGCAGGAGCTACAAAAGACACAATAGTAGTGCTAAAATTATCAGAGGAAGGGGAGATAGAATAATATGTATCCCCAAACAGCAAAAGATCCTATCTGTGTCTATAATAAAGCTTATAACCAGTGGAGCTGGGCTAGTGGAGGAATTGTAAAATATTAGAGAAAATTCCCAGCGAAAAAAATCCTCAAAACTAGTCCCTAATCTCCTGGAAACACATTCGAGGGTGTTCTAAGCTAAGTCTAAATCTTAGAGTAGCCTGCCTGATCTGCCATAACCAATACTGGTTAGGAGTAGCACTGAAAAATAATAATAAGTGGGTCTAAAAGCCCATAGTGCAACAAAGTGTCCCTTAGTACATAAGTGAAGTGAAAAAGATAGACGAGCTATCGCCTGACGCGCGTTTCGGTGTGTGATAACACCTTCGTCAGGGGCTGAGCAATTGCCCTCGATAAAAGCCGTGACTTTTAAATGACCTTTAACCAATCGGAAGTGGGATCCCCCTATCGTCATTGATGACGTATCGGGATGATCCCGCGTCACGTGTGACGTACCATGTCACATGACCGAGGATGGCAGCAAGGAGGAGTCAGTAGGGAAAAACGTCATATGATTGACAGGATACCTGTCTATGTCCGCCGTAAATTGGCAGGAGAGTGTGGCGAATCCCTTAAGGAGCTCCTTGCAATTGTAAATAGTGTCCTCACTTCAAAAGAGGGTTATGAACCAAAGAAAGTTATATGAGATGGACTTAATCCAAACAAGTTTAATTGAGCTAACAGATATCACAATATATATGGACAGTCTGCATAGAAACAAAAGGAAAGAAGATCTATGCCAACCTTTTAAGGCACTGTGCACTACTCATAATCTATCATATTGTTATATACCATATTATAATGATTATATAACATATCAAAACGGCTCATCCATAATTAAAGTGACAGTGTACTCATTTGGATTATTTAGTTATCTGTATAAGAAGAATATATTTGTCCCTTGTTGGAGCCAGTTTACACAAAGTTTGTCTATACTCTCAACCATTAAGGTAAATAGAGACAAGCTCCAAAGTGGGAACTATTTCATCTCATACATAATTTATTAGAAGTTCCATGGACATGAACTCTCAAAAGAGACTGTAAATTCTGTCTTGCTATTTATATTGAATAGTACAAAAAGAAATGGTTAACGGTTGATTTAAAAGATAAATGCTCAATTATAAGGAAAAACTGCTATAACTGAAAATGAATTATTTACAAATTTTTTTTGCTATTTACAAATTGTCAAAATGTATATGTTTTTAAAGATCATGTAATAAACGGAGAGTAGGTAAAACCTTCGTTCAATCCATTAGGTGACAGAGTTTTTAGACGGTAAATCCAGTAGCATTCCCTCTTCCTAATGCGTTGGTCCCAATTACCTTTCCTTTGGTCCTGTTTAATGAGTTCTATGCCTTGAAACCTTAGAACAGTGGGGTCACCCCTACGTACAGTTTTGACATGTCTAGAGACCGGAGTCTCTATATGTCTTGTTGTTTTTACTGCATTGACATGTTCTAGAATCCTTCTTCTAAAGGGGCGAAATGTTTTTCCCACATACTGCATTGGACATTGGCAGGTAATCAGGTAAACCAAGCCCTTAGAGCTACAATTGAAGAACGAGGGGGTGTCAAACTGCAAATTTTTGGAGCTGTTTGTAAATGTTTTAGAATCCTTTCTTATAAAGTCACATGCCTTGCATCTACCACATTTATAGGTGCCTTTAAGGTTGTTAGAAAGCCAATGTGTTGGTGCTGCAGTCCTCTGAAAATGGCTATGTACTAGAGAATCCTTAAGGTTCATGCCTCTCCTTGCCACTAGGGATACTTGTGATGGAAGAATGTCCCTCAATTTCTCGTCCTGTTTCAGCAAAGGCCAGAATCTATGCATAATGGATCTTACACAATTCCATCCGGCATCATATGTAGCTACACATCTGAGCTGTTTATTGTCTGGCTCTTTCATTTTCCCATATGGTAAGGATTCTTCTCTTATTAGGCTCTCTCTGTCTGCTAAAAGGGCTCTATGGGAAGCCCTCTTCAAACATTTATTTGGGTACCCTTTAGACCTACACATAAAACGTAAATCTCTGGCCTTTAGTTTAAAGTCCTCAGTGTCTGTATTGGCCGACAGGGATCCCTTTCTTTTGGGGGATAGGATGGTAGCTCTTCCAATTAAGTAAGCTATTTGTAGCTGTACTTTTCCTAAATAGGTTTGTTTTTATACTCCCATTAGGATTCGGGATAAGAATGAGGTCTAGAAAAGTTAGAGTGGGGGTTCCTACTTCTGTAGTCAATCTGAGATTCAGGTCATTCAGGTTGAGTTTCTGTACAAATTGTAAAAACTGTTCAGAAGTGCCTGTCCATATGATTACAATGTCATCTATATACCTTTTCCAGTAATAGAAGCACTGACTTAGATCGTTTTGAGGATCTGAGAAGACTATTTTCTCTTCCCACCATCCCAGGTGTAGGTTGGCATAAGAGGGAGCACAAGATGTCCCCATGGCCGTACCCTGCACCTGGTGGTAATATACTCCATCGAACAGAAAGAAATTATGTGTCAGAATGAACTTGAGTAATTGTACAGTGAAGTCACTATGCTGGTCTAAATGGGTACCTCTTTTTTGTAGAAAGTATCTAGTATGTTTTAGGCCTAAAGAGTGAGGGATAGAACTGTAGAGAGACTCTACATCGAGACTACAAAGCATAGAATGTGGTGGCATATGAATTTTGGTCAATTCTGCCAGGGTTTGCTTTGTGTCTCTCAGGTAGGGAGGGAGCCGGGTGACCAAGGGTTTCAAAATATGATCCAAGTAGATACTTGCATTCTGGGTCAAGTTATTATTACCGGAGACTATAGGTCTCCCAGTTAGAATGTTATGCTGTTTGTGTATCTTAGGTAGACTGTAAAAGGTTGAAATATGTGGACTGTCACCTAAGATGTAGTCATATTCATTTTTGGAAATGAGGTTATCATTCAATCCTTTTAGTAAAATCGTTTTTAATTCATCTAGAAATTTTGTAGTGGGGTCATGTTGAATGACCTTATAAGTACTCTCATCAGTTAATATTTTCTTTGTCATTTCAACGTAGTTTGAAGTGTCCATGATCACGACATTACCTCCCTTATCGGATGGTTTTATTGTGATTTCCTTATTATCTCTTAGGGATTTTAGAGCCCTTACTTCTGCTGCGGATAGGTTAGAGTTGGGTTTCAAGTCTAAATCGGATATAGTGATTTTATCAATCTCATTGCTCACCAATTCAACAAAAGTCTCAATATATTTGGAGTCTACAAATTTTGGACAATATTGACTCTTTTTCTTTAAATTGGTGAGAGGGTACACTGCTTGTTCACTTCTATCATTTTCTTCGAGAAGTTCTGCCAATAACATGGTCATTTTATAATCTAGGCCCAATTTTTTTTGTAAATAATTCATTTTCACTTATAGCACTTTTTCCTTATAATTGAGCATTTATCTTTTAAATCAACCGTTAACCATTTCTTTTTGTACTATTCAATATAAATAGCAAGACAGAATTTACAGTCTCTTTTGAGAGTTCATGTCCATGGAACTTCTAATAAATTATGTATGAGATGAAATAGTTCCCACTTTGGAGCTTGTCTTTATTTACCTTAATGGTTGAGAGTATAGACAAACTTTGTGTAAACTGGCTCCAACAAGGGACAAATATATTCTTCTTATACAGATAACTAAATAATCCAAATGAGTACACTGTCACTTTAATTATGGATGAGCCGTTTTGATATGTTATATAATCATTATAATATGGTATATAACAATATGATAGATTATGAGTAGTGCACAGTGCCTTAAAAGGTTGGCATAGATCTTCTTTCCTTTTGTTTCTATGCAGACTTTCCATATATATTGTGATATCTGTTAGCTCAATTAAACTTGTTTGGATTAAGTCCATCTCATATAACTTTCTTTGGTTCATAACCCTCTTTTGAAGTGAGGACACTATTTACAATTGCAAGGGCTCCTTGAGGGATTAAGCCACACTCTCCTGCACCAATTTCACGGCGGACATAGACAGGTATCCTGTCAATCATATAGCGTTTTTCCTACTGACTCCTCCTTGCTGCCATCCCTGCGGTCATGTGACATGAGGTACGTCACCGCGTGACAGGGGATCATCCGATGAAATCATCAATGGCGATGGGGATCCCACTTCCGGTGGTTAAAGGTCATTTTAAAAGTCCGGCTTTTATAAAGGGGCAATTGCTCAGCCCCTGACGAAGGTGTTATCACACACCGAAACGCGCGTCGAGCTATAGCTCGTCTATCTTTTTCACCTCACTTATGCACTAAGGGACACTTTGTTGCACTATGGGCTTTTAGACCCACTTATTATTTTTCAGTGCTACTCCTAACCAGTATTGGTTATGGCAGATCAGGCAGGTTACTCCCAAGATTTAGACTTAGCTTAGAACACCCTCGAAGGTGTTTCCAGGAGATTAGGGACTAGTTTTGAGGATTTTTTTCGCTGGGAATTTTCTCTAATATTTTACAATTCCTCCACTAGCCCAGCTCCACTGGTTATAAGCTTTATTATAGACACAGATAGGATCTTTTGCTGTTTGGGGATACATATTATTCTATCTCCCCTTCCTCTAATAATTTTAGCACTACCATTGTGTCTTCCTGCCTGCACCCATATATTTAGAGGGTTGTGCTTACTCCCCCTATAGGTATAAAATAGGTACTTCCAATTACTATTCTTTAGCATAGGATTAATCTTCTCATCATTTTCTTAGAGGGGGGGGGGGGGCAATTTCAACATAGTGTCCTTTTGTTACTTTTTCAAGACTCAATAAAGATTTATTTTCATTATCAGTGTAACAAGGACACTAGTAACGATTTTAGGTAGCACATTTTTGCTCCTCTATTTACTTCCCTTTAATCTATATACAATACTTCTTAGGACTTGTGGGTATTTTTTTCTTTTACTTTTATTGTCAATTTTTCTTTCATTGCCAGTCTAGGAACACCCTTAGGGGATTTTCCTTTTTCATTTAGTTCATTATTTAATTTGGCATTAACATTAATATATTATTCATGTGTTTTGCAGTTGTACTTTTCCCATGATCCCTTGCAGACATGTTTTTTTACGTCTTGCCCTTCGGCTGAAAGTGGTAATTTCTGGAGAGTGAGAGGGACGGGAAGCATGAGACAGATACAATTGAAGTTTCTTGTGAATTACATAAACTTGGGAGTATCCTCATTTTAGAAGCAGGGTTAACTTAATTTGCATGGAATGCCCTGGCTGTGCCAAGACAGCAAGGGAGAATATACAGAGAAGAGAGAAAAAGACAAGAATTGATAGAATACATAAAAGGAAGAGAGAGGAAAAAAAGAAATGGACGTTAAGGTAAAAACTAAAATCTTGCGTTCCCCTAATGGATTTTGTAGCAATCTTTCTAGCTCTGTAACATCTTTCTTTAAAATGGTTCCCTGTGTGGTCACAATTATAACATTCAGTGCTGTTATTACATTGTGTCAGTAACTGGCTCCAAATATCACAGAGACTCTGGAACATGGATTTCAGACAACCTTTCATTCGGCGTCAAGCACATTTCAGCATCCCTAGTCGATTCCTTAGTAATTACACAAAACGGTGTCCAACGGTCACTCCGAGACATTCCACTTTAACTTTAACATGAAAAGACTTGGTTTTTGGTTTTATCATGCATAGTCTTTCCTTATGACTATAGCAGATGGTATTCACAGATGTGCAGGTATTGGCCCCATGGCTTATGCCACCACATCTGTAACACGCTATTGGAGGAACTGATTTAGTCACATACCGGAACAACAAATATTCACTTCTTCCTTATCACAAGCTGCTTGAGCTGCCGTGTAAAGCATTTAAGCATTGTTAATAGCACAGCCTGTCACTGCAGATATATCTATAGCACATTTAATGTCTAATCCTCCTCTGTTCTGTAAAGTCCAGCAGTCCAATTATAAACATATCACGCAGCCAGTGTTTAAATAATGTCCAACTCTTGCTAGTCTCTTTAAACTTGTGACATAAATTGTGATGTTCTTATTCTGCAGTTCTGTGTGCATATTACATTTAACCCTTCTGCTATCTCCAGTGGTTCAGGTAGGTTAGGGTCAGTTAACACAGAGATCGGGTCAGCCCGGGGTTTAGCTGTTCATCTGGTGAGAAAAGGTCCCTAATGTGCTGTTAGCAGCAGGGCCTATAGTTGTCAGGAAAACGGCCACTTGTTTATCCGCTTCTATACTATTTGCTGTACAAAATAACTCAAATAGTTCATCCCATGTGTCCCATTTTTAATGTCTGCTGCAAACACAGGCAAACAGTGATTGAGAACCATTCTAGAGTCCGATCACAAATCTTCGTCACCAGTTGTTATTTTCCCTGTGTGGTCACGAGTGGCAGAACTACCGCCATTGCACCTGGGTCCCATGCAATAAGGGGTCCCATTGGATGGCCCATGCACTTAAGGCCACCTGGTGGACATGTGTCAGCAGGGGGCCAATCCAGCACTGTAGCCTTTTAACAGCATAACCGGGCCTCTTTAATATTGTCAGCCTGGGAGGAAGTGAGAGTTTGTCATTTCCTCCCAGCTAACAGGGATGGAGACATGTGCGGAGAACGAAGGGAAATGCAGTAAGGAGGGGGTGCGGACTGGGAGAGCCAGCCCTTAACTCAGCCTGCAAACCCCTGGTGCATGGACGGTTGCCTGCAAGGAAACCTGTTCACAAAAACATATGGCGAGTACTTTGAAATTACATGAATTTCTCCACAAATTGATCATGAAATTTGATCTGATCTTCAACCAAGTCACAAACATAGATAAACAAGGATTGAAATAATAAACAAACAATTATAATTTTCATATCTTTCATTGGGGATAGTTTAAGGTGATAAGCCACCGAACTCTTCCCCTGGAATTTAAATCCACCCCTTAAAGCTCCAATAAAGACCACTCTATCTCAATGACGTGGTGCATACAGTTTAGCTCCCTGCCTCCTCAGGTCACTTTGAAAAGGTTACTTTACCTACCGTTTCTCCTGCGCCGGTCTCGCCACAGCTGACCCCACTTCCTTGGCTGAGATC